GGGGGGGGGGGGCGCGGGGCGGGCTGCCGCCAGCGCAGCTCCGCGCAGCGTCTCTCCCGGGGGTGCGCCCCCGCGCCGGGGACTCAGCGCCCGGGCCCGGGAGGCCGGCCTGGGACCGGTGCGGAGGCCGGCTCTCGCGAGGTGAGGAAGGAACGCAGCAGCAGCAGCAGCAGGAGGAGGAGAAGGAGGGAGGGCCGGAGCGGCCCCCGCCCAGCCGGAGCCCGGCGGGAGGGCGAGCAAAGCCTCCTCCCCCGCCCGGCGCCGCTCTCCCCGCGCTCTCCCCGCCCTCTCCCCACGCCTTCCGCTTTCACCTAGGGCCGTAGGTGCGGCGCGGAGGCCGGGCAGGAGCTGGCGCCGGCCGGAGCCGAGCCGGGAGGAGCGAGCGGGGAGGAGAAGCAGGCGCCCAGCCGCCCAGCGCCCGCTCGGAGCCCTGCGCGCCCCGGGTTCCGCCGCCGGCAACTGCGAGGAGGCGTCATGTAGCAGCAGCAGCAGCAAACCCACCTCGGATTTTCAACTCTTTTTTTTTTTTTTGGTGGGGCTGGGGGCGCGGCAACATCGTACCTCCACTCCCCTTTTCGTACCCACTCCCATTTGCAAGCTGCATCTGCCGCACTAAAAAAAAAAAAAAAAAAAAAAAAAAAAAAAAAAAAAATCAAGGGCTTCGGGGGAAGGAGGGGGCTCGTAAATCAGAGTTGGACCTGCAGTGCCCCCGACACCTAGAGGGCAACCATGACCGACGAGAGCTCCGACGTTCCCAGGGAGTTGATAGGTAAGGTTCTTGCGGTTGTTAATTTTCCATCTTCCTCTGCGTGCCCCGCACCTCCACCTCCCATCCCTTCCCTGCCTTTCTCAGGTCCCGCCAAGTCTCGGCGCCCTTTAGGTGGTAGTGGTGTTGGGCAGGGTCGCTGGGGGGCGCCGGGAAGTTTGCTCCCATCGGACCTCCTGAAGAGCCAAGACTGGAGAGGGAAAGCGTGGGGAGGAATGGGGAACCCCTGGAGGGGTCTCCGCTGGTTCAGGCGCCTCCTCCCGCCCTGACTTGGGGGTCCAGGTTGGCGGGAGAGGGGTGCGGGCTGCCTCAGTCTTGGGACTGCTGCAAGTGTGGGGCTCCCAGCCCACTGCCCTAAACTCGGGAAAAGTCCGGGAAAGCCTGGTAGAAGGACAGTTGGCGAGCGCACAGTAGGTCGTCCCCGGCACGTGTCAGTCATCCTCCAGAAAAGGCCTTACAGGAGTTGCCCCTCTGACATACAGACTTGGGGGAGGGGGCGCTAATCTCCTATAATGACTGGGCCTGGCAAGGCGTGGCTTGGTGTAGCGAGCTGGGAACGAAAGGGTTACAGGGCTGACGCAAACTCGGGCCAGGAAATTGAGGGTTAATGATAAAAGCTTTATTTTAATAATGATTAACTTACAAATCCTCCCTACCCCGGATCTTGTAGGGAACCAGTGTGAGGTACCCCGTGCAAGGTGACCCATTGTTTGAGTCCCTTGAGGTTTTTCTTGATGGGGGGAGAGGGGGGCTGAATTTTAAGTCTTGGGACTTAATTATCTGGAGGGTTAAAATGGCAGAGCTAAAATAGGATGGGGGAGTGTTCTGAAAACCTAACATTTAAGCTTGTGTGTGCGCGTGCGTGTGTGGTGTTGTATTGTGACAAGGTATGTGTGTCTGCGTGCGGGTGTGTTTTGAGCCCCAGTGACCTATATTCCCTACTGTACCATCCTTGGTACACTGCACAGCCTGCAGTTCAGAAAGACGATGTTTAATCGGTGCTGACAAGAGGAAGTTCTAATCACCCATTTATCTCCATATGTGGAATCTGCCCCTCTGTTGATCGTTTTAGCTATAGTACTCAGAGGAATTTGTGTGTGTCCTTCCATAAGTGATTGTTAACTCAGCAGGTAAAACTTGATGGAAAGAAACTGTTGCTAGGTTTGTATGGCAGCCTCTGCTTTCGTTGAATTAAATACCAAAAACGTGACCCTTTACCAGAATTTAGAGTCTGAAGTTAGTCACACACAATCACACGAACTCCTGGCCCTCTCCTTCTCCAACCCTGTGGAATCTGCTCCTGAGATAATCAGCCTTTGCTGGAGTGAGTGACCCGTCCTGGTCTAGGAGGCTGAGACCTTTCCAACATCCCACCAGAAAAAAGAAACTAATGCCAGAGGCTCTGTGGTTGCCCGCAGAGGCCCTGAGTTTAGGGGAGGGCTTGCCTGGCTGGTCAGAGGGTAAGGATAATTAAAGAGGATGGCAGACTTTTCATTTGTGTTAATGAGTTGTCCTTGAGCTTGGTAATGGGACGTTTAGGTGATCACTTAGGCCTGAAAAAGGGTGAGAGATGGAGTGGAAATAAGGTATCTGGTTGATATTGATGGTTCTCAAAGTAAATATTTTGGCATATTTTAAAAGGTAAATTTGATCCTTATGTTGAAATGCAATTTTTGTGTTTATTGAGTATTGCCTATCTCATACATCTCTCAACTGAGTGACACACACTTTTGTTATATGCCTGATAAGATTTTTCTGGGCCTTTAAAGGTCTAGTTAGGCTGGGATAGCGGAGATCCTGCACCTGCTTTCCTCTCTAATTTCAGGTGCTCACAAGAGTTCTGCTCTGATCAATTCAGAACGGCGACCATGTGAACATCTCAATGTAATCCTTATGTTAATCCCCCAAGGCATTTAAAAACTGTATCTTTGTGATTATTAAAATAATACAGGCTTTTTGTAGAGAAATTTAAAAGCAGAGAAGAATAAGAAGGCTATATGTCATCGGTATGAACACTGAGAGATAACTACTTTTAATCTTTTGGGATGTGACTTCCCAGTCTCTTTCCATGTGGGTATATTCTTAAGTCAATTTCAGATGCCCATTTCCCACAATTCTTTTTTAGGGAAATGAGGAGTTGCTTGTACTTGTTTCGAATTCTAAGACAGGAGCTGCATGGAGAACTCCCAGTGCAGTGAGCTCCCCCACATGTTCCCTTGCCCCAAACATTCCACCTCATTGCTGTTCCTTGAACAGGCTATGCTTTCTTATGTTTGCATGCCATTCTCTATGCTAACAATGCCCCTCTCTCCCCTTCTTTACTCTTACCTAACTCATTGGCTCTAAACCTTCATGATGGTGTGTTCTCAATAAGAAAATTTTGATCACCCCTTAATAAACATATATTTATTTGTTAAACTCTGTAGCATACTTCATTGAGTGTGTGTAATCTAAAACAAACAAGCACACATTGCCAGTAGAAGCAAAAATTCTATTTTCTTTGTGCATCTCAGTGAATTGTATTGTACACTTTGGAAACCAGTGGTCTATTTCTTACACTTTCAAGATTCAGCTCAGGGATTCCCTCCTCCCTGAAACCCTCACGTGCTTCCTAATCTATGATTCCATGTACTGTGTACAGATTTGTTAACGGCATCCCTCCGTGGCCTCCACTAGATTGTATACTCCTGTGAAAGGCAGCATTCACCCCTATCCAGCACCTAGTTGAGTACCTGGCACACAGAGATACTCCCATATCTGAATAAACCAAAATGATTATAATACCAAATACAGAGTTATGGGAGCCTAAAGGAGTGAACTATATTTTGAAGGATAAGTAGAACATAATCTAGAGGCGAATAGGGAAAGGGAATCCCAGGAAAGAGTATTATATAAAAAATCCTGGGGGTATGAAAGATGAAGATGTTATTGCTGATTGATCCTTAGCTAAGTGCTGAGAAATTAAGCTGAAAAAGTTTGAATGGCATGCTATGAAGTTTCAGTTCATTCAGAAATGACTGTGACTCACACCAGCAGCGATGTGATCAGACTTGTGGTTTTGCAGGGGTCACTGCAGTTGTTATGGAGTTGACGGTGGGCTGATAGGTTGGAGGCCATGGACTTAGTCTTGGTGAGAGATTCTGAGGCCCTTAATGCAGAGTCATGCCCATGGGGACAGGAGGTAGATTTTTTTTTTTTCTCCTTTTTGTCTCTTTTTTACTGACCGGCAATGGATCGCAACCCTCAGTGTCGCGCCCGTACTGGACTGGGACCAGCAACGGTCTCCTTTTTGTCTCTTTTTTACTGACCGGCAATGGATCGCAACCCTCAGTGTGGCGCCCGTACTGGACCGGGACCAGCAACGGGATCGCAACCCTTGGCGCTGCTCCCACACCTCGCTCAGCCAGTGAGAGGCCAGTCTGTATGTGGGATCCGAACCCTCGGCGGGAGCGCCGCCGTGCTCCCAAGCGGCGCACTGTAGCAGTGTGCCACCGGGCCGGCCCCAAGGAGGTAGATCTTAGGAGACTTGCTGACTGACTACCTACCTGAGAGAAAGAAGTTAGATATAAGCAAGGTTTCTAGCTTCATTAGTGTCCAGAGGAGGAGATTTGGGATGTATTCAGTTTAGGATACTCAAGGGAGTGGTAGGAAAACTTTCCCACCACCACCTGAATTTTCAAGTCTCCTTTCCTGATTCCTCCTTTTCCATTGCCTTTGACCACCCTTTGGGGTGCTGTGCTGTGATGATTTTGGAAGGCCAGATGGCTGGGAGTGCCCTTCTCTGGCTGAACCGTTTGGTCCAGTTCTGTTTCTTTGCCATATTTCCCGACCTTCATTTCAAGGCACTTGAACATGATCATACTGTATTTGTATGGCATTGTGGTGAACCTAGAGGCTGCTGGGGGCCAGAGGTAACCATCCAAGGGCTGAGGGAGTTATGATTCCTATCGTGTTATGTATGGTCTTTGCAATATAGTGCTCCGTTATACTGCCCTATTGCTCTATTTTTTTGTTTGTGTATCCTGTTTTCCCAGAAAGATTATGTCATGCCTTGCATGGGCTACTATTTTGCCATATGCTTTTTTTTATATTTGCCTCAGCATCTGAGCACACAGTACAAGGCACAATGCAGGTGTTCATTAAATACCTGATGGCTGATAACTATCAGGCCTGTTAAACAAGTAAATAAAAAAAGACAACAACAATAAAAACAACCAAACACACTTCTCAAAATATTCCCTCCTCCCCAGTGCCCCTTTAAATTAATAAAGGAATAATGCAGCTATTTCCTTCTTTCAGAAAGCATAAAGGATGTTATTGGCAGAAAGATAAAAATTGCAGTGAAGAAGAAAATAAAGTTGGAAGTTAAGGGAGACAAAGTAGAAAACAAAGTGCTGGTAAGTTTTACTATTTATTTTCATTAAAATGTTTAGAAGTGAAAGTGTCTTCTCTCCATCACTTTGATTGCTCAGTTTTCATGCAGCACTAGTTCTGGTATTTTATATTTTGTTTAAAAGATCTGATGACCATTTTGTCTTAGATTAATTGAAATATTCTTTGTTGAAAGTTATGTCACTTATATTTAGGTCATCTCCTAGACCCTATTTTCATATTATTCAAAGTTTTATTTTAAGTGGAACTTATTATCTTTGATGTTGTGGCTGATTATATAACTTTATTTATAAGGTCTTATGGAGGAGTTTAAAAAATTCATTTCATATTTGTTTACTTATCTAATTAAATTTTCTGAAAGGTTATATCTGAGTCCATCTAAGGGATGATGGCCTGAGAATGAACAAAAGCATTTGTCATTTTAAGTATGTTTTTGGTGTTTTGGAGGGAAGTGCTTGCTGGAGGCTGTATCTGCTAGTGCTGGGATTGGACTTGGAGTTCCCTCCAGTCTGTGAGAGGAGTTGCTGGGGGCTAATGGATTGGACCGTGCTGGGCACAAGTTCTCAGGGAGTCATAAATGACCGAGTTGTACCTTTTCAAAGGTGAAAAGTATTTTGCGGTATTTTAATGGTTTCTAGATTGAAATTGTGACAAACCTAAATTTAAGCTTTGGTGGAGAGAATATTTTGTTGGACAGAATATTCTGTTTAACTTTTTATCATGGAAAACTTCAAATGTATGCCAAAATAGAGAATAGTATATTGAACCCTGTGTATTTGTCATCCAGTTTCAACAATTTTGGTGTTTTGCTAGTATTTGTCTTATCTGTCCCCCCCCCCCCCCCCTTTTTGATTGAAATTGTGACAAACCTAAATTTAAGCTTTGGTGGAGAGAATATTTTGTTGGACAGAATATTCTGTTTAACTTTTTATCATGGAAAACTTCAAATGTATGCCAAAATAGAGAATAGTATATTGAACCCTGTGTATTTGTCATCCAGTTTCAACAATTTTGGTGTTTTGCTAGTATTTGTCTTATCTGTCCCCCCCCCCCACCATTTTCTTTTTCTTGGAGTGTTTTAAAAACAAATCTCAAGCATATATCATTGAAAGAGAATATCTTTAATATTCCCTTTCTTCAGCTGAAGTTGCCACAGGATTTGAAGTGTCTTTCTGATAACTGTCTTGAGAATCTTTTAAAATAACTCCAGGATATGTGACTACCTTTCCCTGTAGATGTAAGTGAGGATTAGGCTGTTGACGGATGACTTCTATTTCTCTGCTGTCTGTGTCTGCGAGTCAGGATGGCAGAGGCATTGAATTGGGAAAACTAGGGTGACTTTTGTCTGCAATCAAATGTGCTTCTGTAGGCTGTGTAATTAAGGCTATCAATGGCAGACATGATTAGTGCCATCATTCTGTTTTAGCTTTAGTAAAGAGTAAATTCCCTTAAATTATGTTTTCTTAATGCTGTTCAACCATAGGATTGTGGTATTTTTTGGAGGTGGTGGTGAAGAGAAAAGAAATTTTGTTCCTGCCATTGACTGTTTTATGTGTTTAAAGTAAATTTTTATTCATATAGTATCTTTACAGGATGGGCCCACCTCTATTCAACTTAAATATGAACTAGTGTTTGCTACAACAGTCTAAAAAATAGTACTTGGCATTATTTGATATGGACGCTGTTATGCTGAGAATAAACCTATGTCATGACTAAAACATACAATGTTAAAATTACAAAGACAAATGTAAATTCCCAATATAATAAAATTAGCACCATTTAAAAATAGTTGTTATGATTGGTACTAATGTTAAATTTGTTTTTTATTTTTTTGTATCATCTTAACATTAGCTGGAGTTGATTAAAGCTGTAACCAAATTACAGTTGTGTTTCAATTTAAACATTTGTCTCCCCAAATCTGGATTCTTGGCAGTATTGAGGAGATTGGCCCATACTTGTCATGGCTGATACTTGCATGGGCAGGAATTGATAGAAATACTCAAAGTAACCTTCTTTAAGGTTTTTTTAACCTTCTTTTTGATTTTCTTGGTTTTGAATTTAGAGAAATTTAATTACTTAATTGTCAGTCCACTAAAGGAGGTTATACGTGAATATGCTTAATACTTCCAGTACACTTTTTTGTTTTACTTCTATTCCTTTTCCCCAGTGCCCACTTATAGCTCCTTTCCTTCTTATAAAGGTAGGAGTATGTTGTATATTATTTGATTGCTTCTTTTTACACTTTGAGACTTTATTTTATTTCTAGCTTATCTTTTGTAGAGGGTTTATCTTTGTCTTCCTTCTCATAATAGTTAATATTAATTGAACACTAACCAGGTGCTGGACACTTTGCTGAGTACTAAATTATGCATTCCCTTATTGAGCTCCATTACAACCCCCTGAGGTAGGCACTTTTTACATCTCCATTTTATGGATGAGGAAGTTAAGTTCTGCAGAGGCTAAAGTAACTTGTTTCAGGTCATCCAGCTAGTTAATGACAGAGTGGGATTTGAACCCAGATCTGCCTCACCCAGAGCCTCTCTGCTTTACCACTGTGCTCAAAATAAAAAGAAAACATGCATTGCCTTGTTCAGTGGTTGTTAACTTCAAACAGTAATAGGGGACGGACTTTAGAAGGATCAGTGTTCCCTGTCTTTGGTTCGATTGATTGATTTGTACGTTAATTAGCTCTATATTTATTGAGCATCTGCTGTGTGCCAGGCACATGGTATATCCAAGATGGGCATAGTCTCTGACTTAATGGGATTCCTAGTGTAGTTGGGGAGGTAAACATGTAACCAGGCAGTGGTTTGAGATGTGCTATGAGCGGATGAATGGGGGCTGTAAGAGCACATAGGTGAAACCCCTAACTCAGGCCTGAAGTTCAGGGAAGACTTTCAAAAGGAAGTGAGGTTGAGGCTGGAAGCCAACGAGAATTTAGCATGTTAGAGAAACACGCGAAGTACAGCTGAGACAAGGAGTGGGAGAATGGTCAGGCATAAAGCGTGGTTCCTTTCTTTGTGCTTGGGATATCATGTGAAAGTTGGGACTGATTAAACAGGTCAGTTCTTGCCACCTGTTTCTGATGGTCTTCACGTGCACTTTATTTTCCCTTTCAGGAGACAGCAGAGCTCTGCAGTTAAGGGCTTAGATTTTGGAATCACACCTGATTCACACTGCAGCTCAGCAACTTTATAACATTGTTAAGAATCGTTACGGAAAATTTACTTTCTGTAATGAAACAGGCATTCTAACAGTGCCTGTTTGCATATGGTTGCTTTGAAGATTAAGTGGGATATATTTAAATACTTGCCAGCACAATGCCTAGCACATGGTAAACACCCAACAAATGGTAAAGCAAGAGGAACCAAGGAGTTCTGCAATTCTGTTTTCTCAGTGGCACAGAAAATACCAATCCTGAAGCCCAATTATCCACTGTCTCTATTGAGGGGTTGAGATCAGTTCACTGTAAAGCCTGGAGGATTTATTCTTAATTTGTAATACCTTATCAGCAGGATAGAGGGCAACAGATTAGACCCCAAATTCCTAAGTTATGCTCTGGTCAAATGAAATGAGAAATGCTAAGGTGTTCTGGGGAGAATGTTCTATGTTCAAATAAATTTGGCAATCAGAGTATTATAGATAAATGAGTTTACTGCATAGCTTTTCAGAGCCATTAATACACCTCTATGCATTGTATATTCCTAAGAATGGATAAAGTATGTTGTCTTCTCCAAGCTTATTTGGCCAGAGATTCTAATGATCATAGGCTGGAAAATGGGGATAAATCAGGGCAGAGCTGGTGCCTCTTGCGACAGTTTAAAGGAAAGATAGAACGGGCTAGAATAGGCTTATCCATCACTAGGAGTGATTTCCTGGGGAATGGTCCTTTAGCCCTTGTTTTTTATCTAAGTGGTGAGCAGATCTGCTGTGCCACACTGGCATGGCTTGTCATCTGTTGCTGTAATACCTTTCTCTATTGTTTTTAGGGTATTAGAAAATGATTCCGTGTTTCTTAGGCTCTTTCCCTTCTCACTTTTGCTAATTGAATCTTCACCCAATATTTTCAGTACTTGGACTTTTAAAAAATGTATTTTAGTTTGTGTATTTTTAAAAAATTAAACCTTTCATTTTTAGATAATTGTAGATTTATATGCAGTTATAACAAATAATACAGTTACCTGTTATTCAGTGTCCCCTTGTACCTGTTATTCAGTGTCCCCTAACTTGTAAAATTATATACCCCAACCAGGAAACTGACATTGATTGATATGGTAGAATGCAGGATATTTCCGTCACCACACGGATCCCTCATAATGCTCTTTTATAGCCATAACCTACCCCACCCCTTCTGTGACCCCTGGTAGCCACTAATTTGTTCTCCATTTCTATAATTTTGTCACTTTAAGAATATTATATAAATGTAATCACACAGTATATGCCTTTTGGGGATTGGCTTTTATCATTCAGCATGATTCCCTGGACCTTCATCCAAGTTGTTGTGTGTACCAATTGTTCTCTTTTTTTGCTGAGGGGTTTCCATGGTATTGGACGTATCACGCTTTGTTTACCCATTCATCCATTGATGGACATCTGGGTTGCTCCCAGTTTTTGGCTATTATGAATAAAACTGATATAAACGTGTGGGTACTGAGTTTTGTGTGAACATACGTCTCCATTTCTCTGTGATAAAGGCCAAGTAGTGCAGTTGCTGGTTTGCATGGGGATTGCATGTTTAGTTTTAAGAAACCGGCAAACTGTTTCCCAGAGTGGCTGTACCATTATATGGTTTTTTACCATCAATGATCAGTGCATGAGAGATCCAGCTTCTCTACATCCTTGGCAGCATTTGGTATTTTCTGGGCTTTTTTTTTTTTGAAGACTAATGGTTGAAAGAGAAATATTGTCAAGAGGAAACAAGGACCTTGGTCACCTCTTCCTACCCATGCTTCTGCTGTGGCTTGTCTGGGGGAGAGGAATGTGGCACTTTTTTCTCTTCAGGGTG